TAAATTCAGTTAGATATGCAAAGCTATAAACTATTTAACTTCTGATTCGCAACAAGAATTGACATTCTATTGCATAAATAATGTGCAAATAATGGCACACATATAATCCAAAACTGTAACCATTGTCACTATCTAACTTTCGTAACCATCAAAACTGCACACACTTGTATTCCATGTTTTACTGAGTTATGCTAAATGGTGCCGGGTACAGCAAATAATGTCCTTAATTTCCTTTGCATCCTCGCATAAAGAAACAAAGAGCACAGTGCTGTAAAAGGAAAAAAAAAAAAACATGCTTTTCGCTGAGCAAAACTGCTGTTTGACGAGAGGTTGCATATGTTTCCCAACGAATGATTTCACTGAAGCTTTATGATTGAAAAAATAAAAAAACCGATTACAAACGAACCCGATTCATGTAGATATCTATAGATGATAAAATTGACGTCGTCACTAGTAAATGTCATCTTCCAGCAGTGACACCGGCTGTAGCAACCTCAGAAATAGAAACAAATTAAAACCAATAAAGTAGGGTAACGATACGCCAAGAAAAGACAACCCCGGGAAGATTGTCGTGCACGGATGGTGCATGCCAGCGTGCACTACAAGTGCCTAAATTACAGCAGCACAGCAATAGCCAGCAATGACCACGACAATTTACGGAGCAAAATACAGTTCTATCAGTGATATATTTTCTGTGCACCAACAACTGCTAGTTCGTCTGTCGTTCTACCTCGTTTATGCAAATTCCTGAAACATTTTCCAAAATTTAACAAGACACGAGTCCTGGAAATTCAAATACGTAAATCGTGATGCATAAATTGATGGAACATGATCATATCAGTGGGTGAAGAATCAAGCTCAATGAACATAGAATTTTCGTAATCTGGTGTAGGAGGTATACATTACAACAGTCTGGAACCTGAAATTTGACTGGAAGTACTGTTCCGTGCAAACAATATTAACTTTCGTGACCCTTTGGACTTCTCTATTGATCTGATCAATTCAAAAAACTGTTGAGAACTTAGAAGCCATGGTATTTGCCGTATAAATAAGTGAAACGATAAACAAGCGAAGAAAGAGTGGGGAAATATGAAAGGCGGTTAGATCGTAGCTTCTTGTGTTAGTAATCGATATTAAGAATACAATATTTAGACTGCCAGAATTTTTAATGTTAATACACACCAAAATAATTTATAATATTCATACAAGATCCCTTTCTTTCCACTTTTACTATTTGAAGTGAAATAAAACTAAAGAAAACTGATGGAAAAAATAATGTCTATAATGGACAATAAATTAGTAATAATAATCAAACTAGATCACATTTGTAAAATACTATATTTCTTATCAGTCCAGCACTAAATAACAAATAACCAAATGCTAGCTAGACTGAAACATACATCTTCCTGGAAAAAACTAAAATAAATACATAATGGTACTACTAGAACAAAACAACAAATCCTGGAAGATATTTAGCACCAAAATTCGTGTTGTCAATATATTATTTCGATTTATGTCGACTCCTCAGTGTGTTCTTTATTTGTTTCCACGAACTAAGTTAAAACAAATTTATTGTCACAACAGGCAAGTGATGTGCACAAACGGATCCATTATATTTCGACTTAAACGAAATTCAAAGCTCCTTTCCTCCTGAAAGTTCGACCTCTTTCCAATTCCTGAAATAACCAGAATTATGAAACAGCAACAACCTATAGTTTTTTTTTTTTACAAAGAAGGAAAGTTGAAAATCGTCCCTTCGCTATTTGCTCAAAACGACCTTGAAATGAAAAAAAAAAAATTAATGACGAGAAATGTTCCATCCACTTCGTCTCCCACCAATTACTTTCGAGGACTTACCAACTGTCACCCTATTCCCTCTCTTCGTTATTTCCCAAGCAAGAATGTTTTCTGCCCTGGTCAATAAGGATTTAAAAGTGACTTGTTCCAAACTTAAATTTAAAATTACTTTTCCAAAACTTAGGAAATGACCTCACTTGTCATACAAATACCTGCAAATCGCTCATATCAGCACAATTTTATAATTGGATTCAACGACTAAAAGCAAACTCCTTTGCATACAGCTGATTTTATTATGGAGAGTTTCGAATCACAACAGTTTCTTCACATCGGAAAAAACTACCCTTCAAGCCTAATGCTAACGTTTTAGCAGCAGTTTGAATATGATGGTTGCAAAGTTAGCAAATCTTCGAGAACAACGCTTTCAAAGTCCCACGTTGTATATAATTCATAAAACTCAAAAACCAGAGCTCCAACTTCCAGACGATCTAGACGACCTAACGTTGAATAGGTTGACTTTTAAAGATGCTGTGGTGATTCCGAATAATTTTCAATGTATATTTCGACAACTGTCCTAAAACTACTGTGACTTCGAAAAAGTTATGCCACAGATTTTAAAGACAAATATTCGTAAATCTACAGGAAAATAAAAGGTAGCAATAGATTGAAGATAATGCAATGAAGAGTTTGAAATATAAGATTTTTTAGAAATTAAACTTAATCCAATAGCACGAAACAGCATGATGACGCAAACTATAGTAAAACAAAACTTCTGCAATTTTGAATTTACAACTTTTATCGCACAAAATATTAAATCATGTAGTGGTCACTATGCTCATTTCTAAATTACGCAATAAAGTTTTTCCGGTCAAAGAGGGATTTTGACGATTCCGCGGACTCGAATATCGTAAAAAAGAATGACTACCTTCCAGATGTCTCGTAACTGAAAGGACGAGAGAACGACTTCTGACAATGCAATGTGACGGCCCCTCACTTCCAATTCTTGCAACAGTGCAGTAATAGTAATAGTAGTGAGCAGTAGGAGCTGATGATAAAGGGAGAGAAAGAGAGAGAGGTGGGAGAGAAGAGACCCTTTTTCTGGTAATCGTGTAGCGAAAGTTTACAATTGATGACAAATGCCGGCGACACTAATGCCTGCAGATATATGGATTTCACTTACGTCACTTTTATTCGTTTCACTTACCACTTTTTGTTTGATCACTTGAAGTACTCACACTGAGCTAAGCAGTCGTCCAGCACTCTGATTAGCATGTGACAACAAGCAGGAACTAGTTTGGTTACCGTTGCCAACATTTATCTGATTCATTAAAGTTTAAAATAAAACCATAATTACAACACGCACTCGCATCTGTATCCTTGTATAAGTAGGTCACGACTTCTATGCCAACATCAACATTAACTTGAGGTTATTTCCCAAAAGAACAGATGAGATGAACAGACTATGTGATGGTTTTTTTCCCAGATTTCTCTCGACCCGTTAGTGTTGGTCTCAAAAGCTTCCTGATTTCGAGTGCATTTCCGATATACAATAAATACACTTCATGACTATTATTTGGAAGTAGTGAGCTGATACTACCTTCACATCCTTTTACTACACAACCGAAAACGTAGATGTGTTACAACTATGTTTTCAAGCAAATACAATGCATATTACAGTAAATAAATGAAAATGTTTCAGAGAAACCATAAAATTACAATAATTACTGAATACAGACTTCACATCGTGAGGTATCCATTATCGTATATAGGAAAAATAATGTTCAGTCCTTCGTAATCGTTATAGTCTGGTCAGTGTATTGGGAGATAAACTAGCCGAAATATATCTTGGTATTATTTAACAACGACACTATTTGAGAGCATAATTTTACGAACTTCACACAAATAAAATTCCACAAAATGTTGGACAATTCTAGAACTGCTTTATTATTGCGTATAGTAAATCAATAAAATGGGGTTATCAATCAAAGCACAAATGATAAGTGCTTGAGATAACCAGATAAACAATTATAACATCCAACCAAACTCTATGGCTTAATGTTGCTGATAATTGATAAAACCATTAGATCCATCCTGCACACATAACAAGGCGAAAGTTTTCCTCCACTGTTCTACTTAGTTCAAATCCCTGATCTGTAGGCTTATCATAATATGTTCGAAAATACTCAATGACAACATGCGTGTATTTGCGGCATAACTTTTGTGAACCTTTAGTTAAGAACAACAGACACTATTATCCAAATATGCTTTTATTTACATGTACGCTTTTTGGATCACTCAAAGTGTCACTCTTCAATAAGGTAAACAGGAACGAATAATATTGAGCAAATAGGAAAGTTAAAGAGATGAATGACCACCTATGTCTGATCGAGATAAATGCGATATCTAGGAAGTTTTAATAGGGAAACGTAATATTAAGGCACCTGATCCGTGCTATTTCATTACCAAAGTTTTAAGAGGAAGTCTTCAGCCCTCTAGTCACCCTGCAATGTATCCAGCCAAATCAGGGATCAAACCGAGAAAACCATTGGATGCTTACAGATACAACCACTGACACATACGTGCATGCACGTACATATATTACTGCAAAGATCACGCAAAAAGTGTCTACTGAAAGCCATCATATTTCACTCTTATCATGGAGCTCTAAAAAAGCGAGCAGTCTTTCAGACTGACTCCTTCGCAACCCGTGCAACATCTCACCACCACGTAATTAATTAGCCTTAACCGCTGGCTTTATCATCATCACCATCGAATGATCGCACAACACAGTAATCGGACGTTTCACACTGTGCATACTACCGTTGCATCCATATTTGATGCACTACGCTACTATTTACCTCTAAAATGTTTCATTCACATTTTCCCAAGCTACTTTATTCATTCTCCACAACCTGCATACGCTTTGTCCCCATCTCCACTCGTCTTATCCGTGCACGTAACCTTCTGACTATATGTGCACCCATTTATTTATATGTACAATTCCCGCTGCACACAATCACATCACGTCGGACCTCAGTTCATTCCTCTTTGGAAATGTTGCATTGATGCAGCTTCTCCATTTTATTGCTTCTAGGAATGAGTCACCCACTTCTGTCCCTTACTTACCACTACATTCGTGCAAAATATGCGTGCATGAAATTCATTGGAAAATTTATTAGGAAAGTGGCGCACAAATAGCTGTCATGCGCACCAGCAAGAATATTTCCCCTGCCTGCCTGACATGTCCAGCTGCTAATCAACCAGCAAACTGCATAAGGGGACAACAGAGAGTGTTGGAGAGAGAAACAGAGGGAGAAGAATACAACTGTGGGGACCGTATAGAAAAATCTCTAAGGACGGCACTACTACGAAAAACTAAAGAAACGGGGACCATACCATCTGCAAAATTGATGGCTGGCCAAGTGTTTTTGAGACGTGGATGATGAAGAGTCTGAAGACTCAGAAGTGAGGGAGATGAAGAGGAAGCGTTCGAATTTCGGGGCGAGAGAGCCTTTTGTACTTTTCATGGCAACGGGGAGAGAACCTTGTGCTCATTATTGGGTCACGTGCTGATACTTTTTTAATGAGTTCAGAGATTAGAAAGAACTGACTTGAGTTTTATGCAGATCCATTCGTATACCTACTTTCCAGCTTCATATAAGACACAAACTGCTTGGCATATCTGAGCTACTAAGGAAAGACTCCAAGCTAATCCACATTTACCCTCTGTCACCAGCCCAAAAAAAAACTTCGACCACAAATAAGTGTAGTACAAAGAACTATTAGTAACAAGTTAACCTTATTCCACTCTATTTTCGAGATATTTCTTCAAAAATTTTCCGAGGGAGTAATTTACGTACATTCCTTACGCAAGTCATTGGTCGTCCTAACATTCTAATAATTCTTAATAATGACTTCCCAGGCTATATCATTACTAAACCTGTTTGCTAAAGTGACCAGTCTGGCTAATAAACATAAAGATTCAATATCTGATGCTCGTAGAGTAGGCGCTAATTATAATCGAGAAGCATAACCAGAAAATGACGTACTTTAAACAGACACACATGTTCTATCCAACCGGCATACTATAAGTAAACCTGACGTGAGAAATACGTCAAACAACAACAATAATTAAGGATGCGCAATCCTGAATGACACATACGTCCGCACTACCATTCACTCACCTAATCAATATATTTTCCTGCATATTATGCTTTTGGGCAGGGACCGTCTCATAAATTCAAACAATGCACTACCTATTTGAAATGAACCAACCATCCCACTGTGTATGCAGACATCTGTGAATCTATGAGGTGCACGTGTGTATGTGTGTGTGTGTCTGCACGTAAGTGTACGTGTGTGCACGCACGTGTCTCTGCCTGCTGGTTTTTTTATACTCGCATATTGAAGTTAGTCATCTCCAGCATATAATCGATCGATCTTGTCAAACATCCCTTCATCCCCTATTCCCTGTCTGTCTGCTTCTCTGCTTCTTCCCATAAAGAGTACTCGGATATTGATGTGTGTGTGTGTGTGTGTGTGTGTGCGTGTGTGTGTGTGTGCGTGTGCGTGTGCGTGTGCGTGTTTCTATTTTCCCGTGCTCTGCCTGCCAGTTCTTTATGCCCTATCGTGTAGTTATTTTTAACATCTGAAATACCTAAGAGTTTTATCTTCGGACCAAAGGGACTAGAGGAGTTTGGAGGATAAATCCGACGGTCACTGAGGTCTTAATCTAAGTTAATTTTCCTCTCTACACAAGTGAATTCTTGAAATTGGGGAGGAAATCTGAGATAAAAATAAAAGTGAAACGGAAAAGAACTCGTTTTGTGTAAGTGAACGACGATGTAAGAAAGGCATAGTTTGAATTGTAAATTCACTATGCCTTCTCAGAATGGTCAACAGTAAAGTGGTTCCTACAAATGTTTCAGGAGACGACGGTCAGTTTATGAAGATCTCAACAAATCTCATCTGGTTGTCAGCATTCCTAACTGATTATACAGGTGTGTGGGAGGGGAGCTTCTGTGTAAATTATATATTCGTCAAAGTTCTAGTAATAAGGTATAATTATCGACTTTTGAAGTACAAAGAGAATGACAGACGCAATGCCATGCGCGACTGGCGTATATCACGTTGATTTAGAGGATGCTCGTCAGAGTATTCTCACAGCATTCCGAGCACCAAATAAACGCGACGTGTTCTCGTGTTTCCTTATCAGTATGTCGTTGAAATATTTCGGATGATACCTTCCGGTGACCACTAGATGCCCATTTTTCCCTCTGAACTGGCCGTTTTCAATTGGAGTCTTTTGTTATTAATACTTCATAGTACTCCACAAATAAAGCGGTTATTCTGAGCTTCCTGCAGAGTAGGTCCTTCTTAGTGCTTATCTGGCAATGCCTTTCACTTCATATTTTAAAAGTATCTCTGATTCTGGTCGACAATCCTCTGTGTGTGGTTCCCTTGTTCCTTCCTACCTTTAAATGCTTAACAGGGAAGATGTATGTGGATGAGAACCCTACGGATCGATTAGAACTATGCCGAAATCGAGGAGAGAGTTTAAACCATTTCCCGTTTTTTTCTACGAATCTCTTCTTAACAACACCTAAATTTCTGGTAGTTGTGGAGCGAAATATTATTGAGCAAAACTTTCGAAGAATATTATAACGGGAGTAGCAACTGTCCTAGGTTGTAATATTTACATTTGGTTAGTTTAATTAATGAAAGTGGAAATCCGGCAGGGCAGTACTCCGTATATTGAATAAGTGGTACATTTGGAGTGGGATAAGAAAGGAGAAATGTACAGGTGCGTTCGTTGTAGTAGTAGCATTATTGAAACAAATTTGAATTTTTGTGTCATTATTTTTTGTTGGGGAAGCTGCACTTTACTACTTTCTATATCTTCCCGGTCTAGCCGTAATCTTCTCTTCAGTCTAGCTCAGACGTGTTCCGTCACGGTCGTTGAGCACCCTATCAAAACAGTACCTGGGGGTAGGTACATAGCCCGCCAGCTGCTCACCAACGTCACTTGTTTGTATGCTTGCTGCTTTCACATAACCTTGCATCGCTCTCAGGCGAACAGGGCGTATGCTCCAAATTCCAGTCTACGATTTCCGGTCACATGTGCTATTTGCTATAGTCATACTGATTTGAGGGACCGTATCATTTGGTGAAATGTTTTCACTCGGTAATTTTCACGTTTTGACATAACGGTTACCGATGTATGGAATCGATGATTTATTTTCCATTTTCCATGTGATCCCAAGGACCTCACATTTGGTGGCACTTTGTTATAGTAAATATTTGTTAGTGCAGTGTTTCCAGATTTTTTCTTGCTGTGAATTTCGATGATACGGAAAAAATCTGGTTTCGTTTCTTTTTTCTGAAAATCATATTTAGTGAAAGGAAATTGTGGAATCTCATTCCTGTCAGTCAGTCATCTGTAAGCATTCCTGTGGAAGAGAATTTTTATGAGATTGCCATGTCATTTTACATTTGCTGCTCGAAATTCATTGCCATATCGATAAGATTTCCTTTTGTGGCATTGCAAGAAGAATGCTTTATCTCGCAGAAGATCGGTAAGCAGAAGTGGTTTCGTGCTTTGTAGTGATGTAATGGAATTAGGCGGAAAATCCCTCCTTGCCTTGTTATTGAGCATTCTCAATGGAACGGCAATGACGATGACAGCAGCGATCTGAATTGTAAAACATTCCTGCAAATTGTGTACACACGGGAAGAGAGTAAGAATGGAACGGACGAAGATGTGGTGTAATAAAGGGGCAACGACCCTTCTTTCACCTCGACTCATTCAAATCTTTTTTTGTTGGAAAATTGAGGGACCACCACGCATAACCTTAACTTTATTTCCCATTTGCATAGCTTTGTTGTCAAAATATTATCCTTCCTCAAACTTTTGTGATACAAAACTCTTGAGATTTCAGAAATTTTTTTGGAAAAACATAAAACATCTGAAGATAAATTTGATGCTATTTTATCGATCTTCCATTATTTTGGATCCAAGTTTCGAACAACACTCTATATATTTGGTATATACTTTTCTTTTACGCTTATTACGCAACCTTTCTGCTCAATTAATAGGCATTGTCTGGACATCTACTTATTCAAGAAGTAATTCAAGGAATATTTTCTTTTTTATGTTTTCTTCATGTTATTCAGGTTGCTAGTATTTCAAACTCAGCATCTCAGACTACTTCCATTTGAATCAGTTCTGTTTGTTAGATACCACATCCGCTTTTAACAGATTCAAGAAGATTATATCTTTGCAAAATCCGTCTATACGGACTTCATAACTGTTGATAATGGTATCTAATGCTAGGTATTTTTTACGTTTATATTAAAATGCAAATAAAGGCGTACCCGACCGAGGAATGGAAATGATGATGCAGGTTATGAAAATTAGTCCATCTGTAGTAGGTGGTATAGAGGGATGAAGATTTGGTGCCGAAAAATGGTGATGGATCTAGGATTAAGAATATTAGTGTCCCCTGTGACATCTTTCCCATAATTAACATTCACTGTCACAATACTGCAGGAAGCATACGGTAGTAAATGGATTTTCATTAGTTTCCAGTTCACATTCATTGTAAATTCACAATTGACAGTAACAGCAGTGTTCTAATGAACGAACGTTTAAGGGTTAAACAAAGATGAAAATCAAACAGAACGTTGCGGAATGTGTCTTCATCTTCGACGGATCAGTTTTGCTTTTTCAGGTGTTTTATTGCTTATTTTTTCCAACCCTGCAAGCAATTCGTGAGCTATGTGATCCAGAAATTGACCAAATACCCATCCTTCTTTTCTTGGCCCGCCCTAAAAGTGACTTTGTCTTGATGTCAAAGGATTAAATTTGTTCATTATTAATATTATTAAAGCATGATACATAAGAATTAATGTCGAACACCACCTTCAAAATCGACAGCAAATTTTAAGTGAGCTTTAAAGGCGAAGTACACTTAGGTGGAATGTTTTATTCCCGAAATAATCGTGTTCATTTCAATCCCTTGCTTAGTATAAGTTAGTGTTTCATTATTGCCATACAATTTACTATTGAGAAGCAGTGCGCCGGCATTGCATGTTTCAAAAGTTCCATTTCGTTCACTTAATAACAATTCATAAGGTTAGGCTAGATAATTTCTCCTAATCTTTTCATCTACTGAAAGATTTCTTACTTTTCATTCAGTATTCTAACATGACTATGTAAGATTTTCAGATGATAATGCAAAAATTTCTTTAGCGACATAACTGCAAAGTACGGAAGTTAGGTTATATGCTTCAATGAAATGCAAAAAGAAATTAGCATACTTATTCAGAATTTGGCATATTCATTACAACTTCAGCAAAATCTCGTCAGGTTTCTCATTTAATTTTGGTAGCTTTAAAGAAAATGTAGAAAAATAAATTAAAATATAAGAGCTGAATAAATCTA